TTTTAGAAGTGGGTATGAGACAAACACAATGTATTGTAAATGAATAACAACAACAGGAGATTTATACTTGTTTACAGTGTTCATTCTTGCTTTTAAATATTATAATAGATTTTTTTTTTGGTCAACTTGAGAGAGGAAATTTATGATAACAGGATGACTCCTTAATTTCTGTATTTAACGGCTTTTAAAGATGAAGAGGATGAAATAGGAGTTACTTTTGCATACTTGAGATGCTACATTGTAATTAGCTAAACCAATATTTTGTACCCTGCTTACAAATGTAGAGCCGGGTAAAAATAAGCCACAGGTGGTTTTCTTGGCTTTTGGTTTTAAATTTTAAGCTTAATTAGAGCTTGAGCATCTTTGGGAATTCTCTGTTTCCCTCTTCCTTTATTTTCCCCCTTATATTTAATTCTGCTTTATGAATTAGGGTGTTATATGCATGTGTCTTTGAAGGACTTACTTTCTATGCTGGTTTTCTCCATTCCAAAAATAGAGAATGGTTACTTACTTTTCATATATATACCTTCAGACAATAAATATTTATTGAGTGTACTTTGCTACCTGCTGGAAATTTGCTGCCTCTGTTTTTCCAAAAGTTGTGTAGATGTATAGTACAGTGTTATTTACTAAAGACTATGCATCTTTCTCTGGTATGATATTTAAGTAGATTTTACTATTATCTTTACTTAATAAATGTTTCCCAAAGTAAATGCACTAATTCATACACCCAACAGTAGTGCTCCACATCTGGAACACTTTTATTGTCAAATTTTTAATGTATGCCAATCTAGTGGCTGTAAAACACCATCTCTTTGTGGTATTACTTTACATTTTTCATATTTCTCAACAGATTGAGCATATTTTCATGTTTATGTTATTCAGATTTCCTCATCAGTGAAATGTGTCTCAAGTTTTTCCCATTTTTTTTTTTCAAATGGGCTGTTGTTCTTTCTTTTATTTTAAAAGAACTTCTTTACACATTGTGTAGACTAATTATTTGTGCAAATATCTCCATCCAGTTTACGGCTTGCCTTTTCAATTTATTTATAATATTTTTTTTAGAGAGAAGTTCTTACTTAAAGTGGTCAAATTTATTATTTCTTTTTTGTTTATGCTTTTTTAATGTGTTGTTTAAAGAAATTTTCTCTACTCCAAGGCCATGAAGTCATTCTTCTCAGTTGTCTTCTGAAAGTTTTTATAGTTCTGCTTTTAATTATAAGTATTTAATCCTTTGGGAATTTATTATACAGGGTGTGGGGAAGGGATCTGCTCTTATTTTCTTCCTCTTATTGAACACATCCTTATTTTCTCAATAATTTGCAGTGCTATATCTTTCATGAATCATATTCTTATATATATTTGAGTTTCTGGTACTTTCCAGTTAGTTCCTTTGAGTTATTTTCATTACTATAGTTTTATTATGTCTTGTAAGGCAACCCACCTTGTTTTTTTTCCTTCAGGCACGTCTTGGCTATCCTTGTCCCTTTATTTATTTATATACATTTTATAATGAGGTTATTAAATTTTCCAAAAACCCTATTGAGATTTTGGTTTGGATAAATTTAGTCACTAGATCTAGTTAAGGGGAATTGACATTTTTATGATATTGAGGCTATCCAAAAACATGGTTTCACACTCTTTTTATTTCAGTCTTAATGTCTTTCAGAAAAAGCTAAATTATTTTCTCCATAAAGGGTTTATGAATGTTTTCTTAGATTTACTTTTAGGAGTTATATATTGTTTTATGATTATAAATTATGTCTTTGTAAAATCGTCTTTTTTCCTAGATGATTTTTGCTAATTTATAGAAATGCAGCTGACTTTTACATATTGGCATCCGGCAGCTTTGCCAAGCTCTTATTTGGTCAGCCTCTACTTAACATCTTTCTATTTTTTGTCTTTATCTGTTGTGTTCTTTATGAACTTCCTGAAATTATTTAAAAGTTGTACTTGAATATATATTGTTCTAGTGGTCGTGGAATGTAAATATCATCAAATATTGACCTGCAGGAGAGTGGCCTACCTTAAGTGGGCTGTCCAAAAAGCCTGATGAATCAGAGCACTGCAGACAGGGGAGGCAAAAGGGGGGCTGTATGACAGTTTTCTTCTGTTTCATGGATTTTTAAAAAAGTGATTCCTTCTGCTGACAGGTTTTGATTTTGATGTTCTATTTTTTTATAGTAAGCTTTTATGGACATCGGATTCTTTTTTCTGTTCATGATTATTTCTGTTAGGTTTTTCTGAACAAGCAATAGCCAGCGAGCGTATGAGAGTGGTGGCTTGGGTAGCGTACTTTATTTATTTCTTAGTTCAGGGAGGCTCCCTTCTCCTGCTCCACTGAACTGCAATACCTTTAGTAGATGGTGCCTTCTGTGACTGTCATTTTGGCCTGTCTTCAGATTCCTTGATTTCTTCTTGTTTCCGTAGGGCCCTTTTCCGTAGCCCCTTTTTCTTTTTTCCTCACGGACAGCCTTCCTTCCAGGGCCCTCCCTCTACTGCAGAAGTGCTCGCTTCCTAAGACCGCCTTCTCTGGCCCACACCCTGTGACCCTCTTTGACTCCTCTGTCTCCAGCACTCTCATCTCTCAGGCTTTTTGTCTGACCCACGTAAGCCACTTTCCTTCTACAGGTGAATATTGGATGACATTTATGTCCCACCACTAGTAGGACCCTCAGGACTTGCTTTTTTTCCATGTTATCACTCAGGTTTGGCTTAGGATCTAATTCTGCTGATTTGTGATCTTTCCTTGGCCACTTATATGTTATTTGAATTTTTTGTAATCTCTTTCTCCTTGTTGTGATGTAGGCATGGGTGATGGGTATTAATAAAAATAAATGCTCTCTTTGTTCGTCTGTATGGATTTTTGGAGGATGGGGAGAGAAATTTAAATTCAGGCAGTTGCCATTACTTTATGGGAACCAGCCTGTAGGTGAAAGAAATTATTTTGTAAATTTCTTCTAATCTAGGTGCAGAAATATAGTTATTCTTCAGATCCTATCTGTCGCTATAGAGGCTTAAAATTTTTTTTTTGAATTTTATTGAAGTATAGTTGATTTACAATGTTGTGTTAATTTCTGCTATACAGCAAAGTGACTCAGTTATACATATATATATTCTTTTTCATATTCTTTTCCATTGTGGTTTATTAAAGGATACTGAATATAGTTCCCTGTGCTATACAGTAGGACCCTGTTGTTTATCTATCCTATATTAAATTTTTTTTTTTTTTTTTTTTTTTTTTAACGGTACGTGAGCCTCTCACTGTTGTGGCCTCTCCTGTCGCGGAGCACAGGCTCCGGACGCGCAGGCTCAGTGGCCATGGCTCATGGGCGTAGCCGCTCCGTGGCACGTTGGATCTTCCCGGACCGGGGCACGAACCCATGTCGCCTGCATCGGCAGGTGGACTCTCAACCACTGCGCCACCAGAGAAGCCCTATTAAAATATATTTTGATTAAGTTCTATTTTTAATTTCATTGCCGCTATATTCTTTGATTAATTGATTCTTTACCCCGAACTTTATTGTCAAATTGGGTATGGAGTGTTCATCTTCCATGATTATTAATTATAATACACCATTTGAGAAGCTTTTTGAAAACACAGTGGGATTTTGGAGGAGTGGAACCCAGTAATATATGTTTGAAAAAGTTTGTCAGTTGATGCTAATGGTTTACTTCAGGGTAAGAACCACTATCCTAGGTTGAAGTCATAATTAGTGTTACATTCATATTCTTGTACATTTTGAGGTTATCCATGTAGCAAATTGTGAGTTTATGATGTTAAGAGATTGGAATTCCATGATAATGATTTTTAATTATCACTTCATCTGTGGATCAAATAGTTGAGATAATAATCAGTGTTTCTAATTGATCATATAGTACATTAAGTCAATAAATATTTCATTGAAAGCCTGCTACATGCTAAGTATTATGCTAGGTTCCAGGAATACACAATTGAGAAGTCATCATCCTTGCACTCACTGAGCTTAAAGACAGATATGGAGACATACTGATTAAACACGTAAATATAACAGAAGAGCCATGAGAGACACACAGCGTACTTCAGGAGATGATAAGAGGGTGGGATCAGGTGCAGTTTGCCCCTTCCTTCCTTCTTTTCTTTCTTCTTTCCTTCTTTCTTCTCTTCCTTCCTTCCTCCCTCCCTTCCTTTATTCCTTCTTACTGAATATTTGTGAGACACCCACTACCTACTGTGTCCTGTGGTGGATGTTGGGATAGGTGTGTTACAAGACAGGCATAGTCTGTTTTCAGAGTCCACAATTTTTGCAGAAGATAGATGTTAGCTCACAAAAAGAAGATGAACCTCCAGGGTACTGCTGCAGTAGTAGGAAGTTAACTAAATTTCCTGGTGGAGACATTCCTGAACTGAGAGTCTGGAATAAGTTAACCACATGAGAATGATTTCACAGGTTGCAAAGGCTCAGATATGGGAGAGAGTGTAGTGCTTTCAAGGTAAAGCAAGTTGTTCGGTGTCCTTGGAACATAGGGTATATTGGGGGATAGAAAGGTAGATATAGGAGGAATCCCAAAGGAATTTTGTATTCCGGTTCTTATTATGAAGGTAAAGTTAAGGATTCATACATCAAATCTTCCTGGGAGTGTAGCGATTAAATTGGGACTCGAAGGATGATAGGAGGGTACTTATAGGGGTTAGAAGGGTAGACAGAGGTAGAGAGGCACAGGAAGACCTACCGTATTCTGGTGATGTAGGTCATTCAGCGTCCTGGGGGATGAAATGTGAGGTGAGGAGAAGTGGGGATGAGGCTGGGTGGTTAGGCTGTGAGAGGGTCATGCAGGTGCATTTATGGCACAAAGGAGTTTATGCTTTATATTTTATTTGTTTATGGGGCACTAAAAATATATTATGCAATACCCATTCTAAGAAACATACTAAATATTAAGACATATGGGAAACATTTTCATTATAGTTTAATTAAAACTCAAATATTAATGTCTTTATTTTATGTAAAAATTTTCAGATAGAAAATCCTCGGTACCTGAGACAGAAGCCTATCCCCGTTACTTTGGTAGGTGAGAAATGCATTGAACTTTTCCTACGGTTAGATATTTTAAAAGAAAATAATCCTCAAGATATTTAGAGAAAATAATGCAAGTCCACATTATGAAGCATAATAGTCCTATTAATCCTATCGCTTGGAAGTGAATAAATCACTATTTTTCTCCAATATTGGTATTATTTTGGCATGAACTTCAGCCAATTTAGAGTTTACTTTTTGATAAACCAGGCCTGAAAAAGTATTGAATGACTCTTTCTCATTCAGCAGATGACTCCCAAATTCAGCCTGAGAAAATCCAGCAGTCTCCAGGAGGATCAGTTACTGTCTCGAATGCATGGGAAGGAGGTAGGATCGAGATATTTCTGATGTATCTAGTTTATTAAACAATTTTTGTATTTTGTGTAATGTGAATTTTCTGGTTAGAATAAGGTTGCACGGTAGGAAGAGGTTGTCATTGGTACGGATATAAAATACTGATGCAGGTAAGGCAGGGTGGTCTTCAGCTTTGTGTTGCCCGTCTTCCATTTTGTGTGTCCTGGCCCCAGGCCTGCTGGACAGATTGTGCTGAGGGGCTCTCTCCTGACTATCAATTCCTGATTATCAGGGCCTGGGGGGGATGGCAGGTTTTAGAAGCAGTATCTTTGACCTCGGTGAATCCCTTCATTCTCTCTTTATCTCAGCTTCCTCATAATGTATCTTTCTAATTTCACTATTTTTACTGTTTCTACTATTTTAAATTGATCTGCTAAATTCAGCTATGCCAGAGCTGCTATAGGACACAATGTACTATCTTTCTTTGATCATTTGAAAATAGAATTATTAAAGAGGCAGTGGTGTTTATTGGTTAAGAGTAAAGGCTGTGGAGTCAAGAATATGTGGATATAAATCCTCCTTACCAGCTATGTGAAAATGGGCAGATACTTACCTCCCTGAGTCTCAGTTTCTTCATCTTACTTGGGAGGTGTCTGCTTTACAGGATTAGTAGGAAGATTTTGTAGTCTTTGGGTACCTGTGTACTCCACATGTATAATAGTAGTCATTAATTTGCTTTATTATTTTCTTTTAAAAACTTTTATTCTGGAAAATTTAAAAATCATCATTATTATTATTTTTTTGCTTATGACACCAATGAAACACTGGTCATCTATGTGGTACAATGAAAGACAATTAGATTAGGAACCTGAAAAATTATGTTCTTTTTTTTTTTTTTTTTCTTTTTTTTTGCGGTACACGGGCCTCTCACTGTTGTGGCCTCTCCCGATGCGGAGCACAGGCTCCGGACGCGCAGGTTCAGCGGCCATGGCTCACGGGCCCAGCCGCTCCGCGGTATGTGGGATCTTCCCAGACCAGGGCACGAACCCATGTCCTCTGCATCGGCAGGCGGACTCTCAACCACTGTGCCACCAGGGAAGCCCCTGAAGAATTATGTTCTTAATCTGCCTTAACCATTTTCTAGTTATATGACCCAGGGAAGTCAAGAATATTAGTTTAATTTTTGTTTAAACAGGGTTGTTACGAAGTCAAATGAGAACAGTGAATATGTATGTAACTTGTAAATGGTAATGCACTATTTAAATGGGCAAATTGTGAAAAATACTATTGGACTTAGATTAATGGTTCTAATTAATTTATTTCAATAATTTTATCTTTCATTTTAATGGGAGGCTTCTAAGAATTTCTGAAATTTAATTTCAATTTGGGTATTTTCAACATGATAGAGTTTTCTTACCATCCTATTTATAAAATATCACAGAAGACAATGATATTTTTCTTAGATATTCCAAACAATATCATGAGCGTATAAGTTTATTTTTGTTGATAACAGAGGAGGAAGCGCTCTTTTTTCTTTTAAATTTCTTTTTTTAAAAAAGTATTCATGTATTTTAATTAATTGGTATTGGAGTATAGTTGCCTTACAGTGTTGTGTTAGTTTCTGCTGTACAGCAAAGTGAATCAGCTATATGTATACATATATCCCTTCTTGTTTAGATTTCCTTCCCATTCAGGTCACCACAGAGCACTGAGTAGAGTTCCCTGTGTTATAGGGTAGGTTCTCATCAGTTATCTAGTTTATATGTAGTAGAGTATATGTGTCAATCCCCATCTCCCAATTCATTCCACCCCCCGCTTTTAAATTTCAATCTGGTGGAGTGACTGCTGCTGATCTCAGTAATATTCCGTCGTTTTATAGCTCCTATTTAAGGCATGCAGGGTTTTGTTTCTTAGTGCACTGCTAGTGTTTGAAGAACCTGTTGAAATAAAAAGAAATTACACTCTAAAAAGTGTTTTTGAGGGTAATACTTACATTCAGATGCACCTTCTTTGGAACTCTTGTTTCGAAATTGTTTCCTTTTTTTTTTTTTTGTGGTACGCGGGCCTCTCACTGCTGTGGCCTCTCCTGTTGCGGAGCACAGTCTCTGGACGCTCAGGCCCAGCGGCCATGGCTCACGGGCCCAGCCGCTCCACGGCATGTGGGATCTTCCCGGACCGGGGCACGAACCTGCGTCCCCTGCATCGACAGGCGGACTCTCAACCACTGCGCCACCAGGGAAGCCCTGAAATTCTTTCCTTTTAAAAAAATTGTCATTAATTGTTTTTACACGTCATTCTAAGCCATTACCAACTATTTTTCCTTTTCCTTTTACTGTTGAGACTGCTTACCATAGAATAAATAATTGAAAGGACCTGGTGTCTTTTTGAATTTTTTTTTTGGTGTTTCGTGAAATAATGTCCTTATTCTTTATGATGACATCTTGGGTCAGGGGTAAACATACCAAGGCTCCCCACATACGTGTTGAAAGAGAAAACATTTAAAGCTATTGTGTATTGCATTTGAGATTCATAATTTTAAATGTGTGTGGCTTTATTTTTTTCCCCACCCTTATGTTTTTGTTTTTCTTTTTGGCATACTGTAAAAATATTTGTGGCATCATTGAGAAGTTTGCATGTAAACATCAACTTACACCATATCTTAAAATATATCCAGTGTATATTTTGGCTAAAATAACTCTTTGTGTAGCTACATAGTCATTTCTGACTTTTTTTTTAAACTCCTTTATTAGAGTATAATTGCTTTATAATGGTGAGTTCGTTTCTGCTTTATAACAAAGTGAATCAGCTATACGTATACATATATCCCCATATCTTCTCCCTCTTGCGTCTCCCTTCCACCCTCCCTATCCCACCCCTCTAGGTGGTCACAAAGCACCGAGCTGATCTTCCTGTGCTATGCGGTTGCTTCCCACTAGCTATCTGTTTACAGTTGGTAGTGTATATATGTCCATGTCACTCTCTCACTTCATCCCAGCTTACCCTTCCCACTCCCTGTGTCCTCAAGTCTGACTATTTTTGATGAAAGTTTTTGATCATATTTTTTTCTCCATCCTAAAATATTTAAAAGTATATGCTGAGTTGCCCCAGTGTGAGAATTGTCTTAGTTTCATCTTTCTTTTAAAGTAGTATTTGTGATTATAAAATAATTTGTGGATTTTTATTAAGGAAAACTTGGAAAATATAGATGTATGTAAAGAAAGAAATAAAATCATCTGTGAAATAAAAACACTGGTAAAATGTCATTGGGTTGTCTTTTAGTCTTTTCTTTATGTATCCTGTAAACATGTTATTTTTCTTTAGAAAATTGAGATGATATCATATACATTGTTTTGTATAACTCAAGTATTTTATGCTACTAAATATTGTTCCTAAGCATTTATTTTCAATGGCTGTATTATGGTTCATATTATACAATTATCCCCAGTTAATTTAAATTATCCCTATTGTTGGGTATTGAGGTTGAGTTTTCACTAATATAAATAATTCTGGGAAGAATGTCCTTAGATGTCTGTCTTTATAAGCATTCTAAATATTTCTGTGGGGTAATGAATTGTGTCTTACATGGTCAATTGAAATAATGGATTTTTGTAAGTTTAGTGTCATAAACAATTTAACCTCTAAAATAAAAATTAATGCTTGGAAGTGTCATGAACATTGTATGTGATTATAAGGTACAAGTAAAGGATGTATTATATGCAAAAATGAGAATGAATATAAAAAGGCAAAGATAATTAGGAGCCATTTGAAGGTAGAGGAAGGTAGCAGTTTAGATTGCCTTTGTAAATATAAGATGACTAATTATATTTTTAATACAGAACATGTATTTCTTTAAAGTTTTTTTCAGTTTCAGGAGATAGTTTTTTAATATTTTCATTTTTGAAAATAGAGAATACTAATCATTAAAAGAAAGATATTCAGACTTTAGGAAAAACATTGATTTTCCTGAATTGCATGTGTATCTCTATGCTAAACCTAATATAACTGTTAGAGATCATGGTGTTTCCCCTGTTCTGGTCACTAGAAAGATCAGAGCTTCCACAGCATGTTTTCAGCAACTGTAATATTTTATGACATGTACTTTTGTGTGCTGTCCTAAATCTGTCCTTAGTGGTCTCTTTCTATTTCATATTCTTTTCAATTTTTTGTCTATGTACTTTAATCTTATTATATTTGTGTATATCAATATTTGTGTAACTGTATCAAATTCTTTCTAGAATGGTGCATGAATAGATGGATAAATAAAAAAGTCCATTTGCAAAAAAAAGAATTAACAAAAAAGAAAATACCAACCATACCGCTTTAATATTTTTGTCTGTTTTCAAGAGATAGTTTTCTAACTTGGATTTTTCCCTAAACTTAAATGCATAGTTACATTGTGATGTGTGTAGTTATCCTTTAGAAGGATGATCTTATGTCTACTTGATTAAGTCACTTTTGTTAGACATATACTTATGGGCATGAGGATAAATGCTTTTCTGTTTTGAAATTCAGCAGGCTCTTGCATGTTCACATCAGACAACCCTGATGTGTCTTGTACATGTTCTCATCTACAAATGCTTTTGTTGTTGCTGGGTGGCATTTTAAAAATAAGAAATAGCATTGTTTCAGGTGAGTTAAGTTTATTTTAAAATTAAATATTAAATGAAATAGTAATCTTCATTTCCTCAGCACCTGATCTTTTCAAGGTAATCATTGCACAAAATTTAACATGTATTCTCTTTAAAAGTTTCCAGGAATATCTTATTTTTAAAATACCAATAAGATCCTAGCACATACTCTATATACTGTTTCATTTTGCTTTTTAAATGCTAACATATATTCTGATGATTTTTTATATCAGTAGTATGGCATCATCTTTTTACATAGTTGCATTGTATTTTATTTTACTGATGGACCACATTTTATTAATATAGATTCCTGTTGAGGGGTAGAGGTTTGTAGAGTATTTTGCTACAACAAATAGTGTTTCAAGAATATCCCTGTGTATATTTTTATGTATTGCATATTTCTTC